AAGCCTTCAGAACAAGACAGAGCCAGCACCGCCATGTTCAAAGGACCTGGAGATGACAGGACAAAGCAGTGTCTGAGCAGTCTTGGGGTGAGGGGCTGCTGAGTGGACTGGCCTTACCATAGCTCCTGGCTGCCCTAGAAACTCACTCTAGACTTCGGGAGGCAACACACAAAGGCCACTCATGGAGGCATGTGTCTCCTCAGCCCCTCCTCGTGCTCTCCACTTGCTCAACCCTAGTCTTCCTGAGCTCTCACAGCCACACCCTGCCCCCTTGCAGCACAGAGTCCCATCAGGCTCCACCCCCAGGGGTCCATCGTATGGGCCTCCTGCCTCGGCTTCCAGGTTCAACCTCAGAGGGTTTAGCTCACCTCTACAGGACACTTCCTAACCTTTCCCAATCTCCTAGACTAGCAACGAGTCCCACACAGATGACATTCCCACAGATTCCTTATTTTCCTACGATGCCACTTCCTTATTGATCCCCACCTACCCTATTAGACTTTGTTCCCAGGAAGGAAAGGGATATATACACTGTAGCTCTTTTCTGGGTTCTAGGAATTCATCCTAGGGCCTCTCACACGATAGGCAAATCTCTACCACTGAGCTACGTCCTTGGTCCCCATGAATAAAAGCTGGTGTTAATCCAGACAAGCTTTTTGAGCTATGGCCAGGGAGAACCATTCTCTCCCCATTCCCTCCTCCTAAACCCATCCCCAGCCCAGTAGTAACCATCATCCTCCCAGAGTAGGAAGCTTGCAGTGAACTTACAGAGATTCTCCAAGTCATCAGCACCATCTCACAAGTGAGGCTACCGAGAGGTCCAGTAGCTCATCAAGGTGAATGAGGAGGGGCTGTTAAGAGTAGCAGCTACTCTTCCAGGGGCCTAGGGTTCAATTCCCAGCCCCCTCATGGCAGCTCACAACCATCTGCAACTCCTGTTCTAGTTACCCTCACACAGACATACACTCAGGCAAAAATACCAAAGCACATAAAATAAATAAATTTAAAAATAACAACAGCAAAAAAGAAGGTGACATGACTTTTCCTAGTTTGTCCATGACCTTCCTCATTTTATCAAAGGGAAGTCTCATGTCCTGGGATCCCCTCAATCCCAGGCAGACCAGTAGAGCAGGCCACTCTTGTTGCCCCAGACTTCACAGTTAACAAATGACTGATTCAGGACCCTATCCCAGTTCTCCTGACTCCATATCACACTCTCGTCCCCTGGCTAGGCCACCTCCCAAGCAACAGATCAGCACATGATCTCTGTCCCTTTAAATCTCAACCTGCTTGGGCACTGTCTACCCTCTGGCTGTTACCCCAGGCCACTGGCCACCTTCCTGGAGCAGCTCTTCCCAGAGGCATGTACTCAAGGAGTACAGGGCATTGATATTAACCTAAATCAAATATAATCCAGAGCTCATTTCTGCAGGAAAAGCACTTTGCATAATACAGAAAAATTAAATTATTAAAGAAACTTCATAATGATATTAAAGTAAAATTTTAAATAAAATTAAAATAAAAAATCTTCACCCACAAATTATTTTCATTTCTCCACATTGCCTTCCCTGTGGCTATTTTTGAGAACTATAATACAGTATGAACCCCACTTGGTTGTTCCTGCTTCACACCATAAAAACCTGATATGGATTCTCTTCTGGCCAGAATCTCTGTGTCACTAACACCCCTCATTAGGTCAGATGGCAGGGAGCTGGACACAGGGCATCTCCTCCACAAAGGATTCCTTCTGCAGCAGAGCTTGCTTGCCAGACAGACAGAGGGACAAGGCTTTCCCCCATCCTTCCTTGGAAAGGTTGAGACCAACAAGTCTAAAAGGTCTAACTCTCAGGCACACCCTCAGTTCAGTGTGCTCAGGACAAGTGTGTCCTTCTCTGCTGGGCGGGAGCCAACCTGGACACTTCTCTGCACTTAAAAGCTCTATTGCTTCATTTCATATGGCTCTTGAAAAGTCTTCTCCCCAAATGAGCAGGCACCCCCTTATAATCTCCTTAACCCCTTGTTGGAAGGGAGATGACATGTCCCCTTCCTCTCTCAAAATCTTTGTCCCTCAGCCCCCGTCACCAAAGCTCTGCCCAATCCTTCCCTTCCTCATGACCTAAGCTCACTCCTCCATGCAGACCCACGTGCGACTCTCTTCAGGAGGCCACTCTACAGTTTAAGAACCCCCACCCAGGGCAAGGCCTCCAGCCACATGCAGAAGAACTCCCTGGGATTCAGGGTGGTAAGCGGCCCGAATGCTAGGAGGGCATGTGGACCAGAAGCAAGGAACGCACTTTCTTCCACACTTCATTCTTTCTGGAGCATCGGATGGTTTAAGTTGGTGTAGCTCAGTTGGTAGAGGGTTTGCTTAGCATGCATGAAGCCCTGGGTTCAATCTTTAGCAATATGGAAAACAGGCACAATAGGTACACACTTGTAATCTCAGCATTTGTGGGATGGAGGCAAGAGGATCAGAAGCTTAAAGTGCCCCATGGCCCCCAAGTGGAGGTGTGGCCTTGTTGGAGGAAGTGTGTCACTGTGGGGGTGGGCTTTGAGGTCCCTCAGGTTTCTCAAGCTTCCCTCAGTGGATTTCCCTCTGCCATCTGGTCAAGATGTAACCAGCTCCATGTCTGCCCGCATGCAGCCATGCTCCCCATCATGATGATAATGGACTGAACCTCTGAAACTATAAGCAAGTGTCCCAATTAAATGTTTTCCTTTTGAGAGTTGCCGTGCTCATGGTGTCTATTGACAGCAATAGTAAACCCTAACTAAGACAGAAATAAAGTAAAATTGAGGCCAGCCGATATGAGCTTGTCTCAAAAACAACAATGAGAAACCCTGACACAAAACCCTCGGACTTTAGTTCCACCAGGCATGAAGCTCCCTGGAACATCTGAGGCTGTCCTTCAGTTAACCATCTTGGTTCCCTTTCAACACACCAGATCCCAGGACCTGGGGGGGATGGGGTGCAGTTGTACTCAGCTGGCTGTCCCAAGAGCAATGGCAGCCATGGCAATGAGGAAGCTCTGCGGTGATCTCTCTAGGAATAACAATAATTAAATGCTGCTAAGCACTGAGGGACACAGAAGCACAATCATAATCACCACAGCTACCATGGCGATGATAACAGTAATTAGGGGCTGTGGTTTCCAGCTCCCCCCAGGAGCACAGCCTAGGGTGATGTTGGCCTGTCAGGTGAGGGAAGGGGGTACCTGTAGCAGGTGGGGCTTCTCTGAGAAAGGCCAGAGCTTTGGGCATGCTTTCTCCTTGAGATTCCATCTTCTGATCCCGCTTCTGTTTGTGCTCCCCCTCCTCCTCCTCTCCCTCCTCCGCCATCCTCATCTTCCTCTCCTCACACCTCAACCTCAACTGACCTCACACTGAGGGTTGGAGACCCTGGATGGGGTAACCTTTTATTCAGTATACCACTTCCAACCTATCTTCTCCTGCCAGGAGATTTTAGGGTTTGGGGGAACCTTGGGGATTTCATAAGGTTCTCCTCACATCAAAGTAAGCTTTACTAGCTAATTACTGAATGACACAGAGGGGCCTGGGAGATGGCCGGGAGGGGAAGTCATTATTGTGTTGACTTTGGGCCTTTTCCAGGCCCAACAGCTGCCGGTCTGAAAGGGCCTGTGGAAGCTGAGCGCCTGCCTCGGGGAGACTCTCCTAGGAGCCCTGCTTTCTCAGGGCTATTCTCTGGAAGATCAGTTGCCACCTTTTCTACCCACATGGCTGGACTAGGTAAGAAAGCAAAGACCAGCTGCCTGCTCTTGGAGTGGCCTGTCATACTCAGGCACATCAGGTCTCAGAGCCAGAAAGGGAGAACCCACTCATGTCCAAGGCCAGAACAAAATTCCATCAGGAGTGTTCCTGGTGAAAGGGCTGCAGCCTCAGTGGGAAGATGACCTGCAGTTCCTTCCCTCGCCTCTTAGCTCCAATCTCTAAGCAGTCTTTGCCAGATTAAATTGAACCCGACTTCTCCTAAGCAGACCCCCCTGGGTCCTGACTCCCCAGGAAAGGCATGCCCCTCATGTGTACTCCTTTCCCCTGTGGTGCCTGGAGAATGCTAATCACACCTCCACTCTCTCCAGCCTTCCACCTTCCAACCTCTCCCTGCAGGTAACTCCAGCCTCCCAGCGGTGACCCTGTTACTCGTCCCTCCTGTGTTCTGTCCCCCAGATTCTCTTTACCCCTGCTGGGTTCATCTCCTTCTCTACACTCATAAATCCATGCCTCATCTCTTTTCCACCCTTGGTCCCCCATCCCCCCTGCCCCATCCCCTCCCCACTTCCAAGGCACTTCCAAGGCTTACTCCACGAAGGGTTTTCCCTTTCACTCGCTTCCCCAGCCCCTCACTGCCCACCTGCACATGGTAGCCTTTGATTTGCCACCGAAAAGGAGAACGTGAGCCCCTTGTGGTGTCTGGCTAGCTCTTTCAATGCTTCTGATCGGCTTGTTTACCCATTACACCACATTTCTAGGAAGCAGGACACCTACCACCGCCCCCCCCCCCAGCGCGTCCTCTGACCCCTTGCTTGAGTCTGGGTTCTGCTCCCACTTGGAGGTCAGCACCATTCTCTCAAAGGTCAATGGTACTTCAGTCCCTGTTTCCAAAAGCCCTCTGATCCCTGCCTGTACCTGCAGAATCGCTCCCTATTGGTGGTGGCCTTCCCCCGCTCCCCCACCCCTCTCTCCTCTTCCTCTTCTTCAGTTAAATCCTCTTCTATTCTTACTGGCTTCCATGACAACCCACTCTCTCTGCTCCCCTCCTCCCTCACTGACCAATCATCATCTGTCTGTCCTACACACATCGTTGCCAGATCCATCTCCTGAAAGCCCAGCTCCAGCAGTTCTCAATAAGCACTTCTCTGTTCAGAAATCTTCAATGGCTCACTATTGCCTAAGGGGGGAAAAAAGAAAAAAGAAAAAATTGAACCAACCATCATGGGATTGTGAAATCACAAACCTTTATGTAATCATAACATATAGTGCAATAATTAGTCAGGAGTCAAAAACTTTTTTGAACAGCCATATTTTCAAACTCTATTTAGAAAAATACTTTTCAGAAGGTCCATGTTTACAGTGGATGAAGGCAACATGCCCTTTAAAGATGGCTCTGTTGAACAGGGAGCTGGAACCCAAAGACATCGTAGGGCTCTCAAAACACAACTTGAAACCCAGTGGGCATATTAGCCCCCTCAGTCTGCAGAAGAGAAAGGTGAGGCCCAGAGAGAGCATGTGATGGGCAGAAGGGGACACAGGATACAAGTGAGAAGACAACACATTTGCACTAAGTGCTTAGTGGGTACATGGTGTGTTCTAGGTACTGGGGATATGGTCCCTGGCCTAGAGTAGATCAGGCATTTGTAAATAATTACCAATGAGGCTGCAGGAATACCAAAAAAGAGCTGTGTGGAGACACAGGGGACAAGCCTGGTCTACCATGAGGACTTGACACAGGTGAACTGAGGCCAAAAGAAAAGGTAGCTGACCCAAAAGGGAGATGGGGTTTACAGAGGAAACACATTTGATGAGCCCCAGGAAAGTGCAGTCTCTCCTAAGCAAAGCTCTAGAGCAGAGGGATGTGAGGCTTCTGAAGCAGGCAGCATCCAACAGGCACTGTTGAGGCCCGGACAATGGCCTCAGAGGAGGGTCCTCATGCTTGGAGCTGGTCATTTGCATTAGAAGGTCACTTGCACTACATGCCAGGTGGTGTGCTGATTTGGATCCTAGAAGAGAAAATAAAGAGAATATAGACGTTAGTGAGGAACTTGGGGAAATCCAATAAATTCTTTAGTTCATTTAATAGAGACATAGCAATGCTAATTTCTTAATTTTGCTACATGGTTCATATATAAGTCATTAAGATTTAGGAAAGTAGGTGAAGGTCAACAAAAACTACACTATCTTTTTTGTTTTTTAAGATTATGCTTGTGTGTGTGCACATGTGTGTGTGTGCATACATACATGCAGAAAAGCATATCAAGTCTCTTGAAGTTGTAGTTACAGGTGAGCCACATGAAGCGGGTTCTGGGAATCGAACTCAAGTCTTCTGGATAAGCAGCAAATACTCTTAACCATGGAACCATTTTTTCAGTCTTTCTACACCTCTTTTGTAAATCCAAACCTATTTCAAAATAAAACAGACTTTACACGCACAGAGTGGGAATGCAATGCCTGCATCATGCTTTGCATGTAGCATATGTGTCTCTGGCAGAGAAGAACACAATTGTGTGTGGACACACAGGTTATAGGAATGGCATTGACCAACACTGAAACAGTTTTCTCCGTATACCAGGCATCGTTCCAAGTGTGTACCATGTTTAACCCTCACAATCCTAAAACCTGTATGTCATCTAGTCCCGTTTCACAGACAAGAAGGTGGGCACATGGAAGCTAAGCTGGCAAGATTGTAGACCTGAAGGATGGATCAGATTTGAATCAAGAGAGGCAAAAGAGAGAATTACAGGATGATGGGACAGCTTCTGCAAGTTTGGACACTGAACTTGTCTAAAGATACTTAGTTACTAACGGCTATCGTCTAAAGACACAGTTACTGAGGGCCAGAGCTGGCATTTAAGAAGTTGAATCCAGGGTTGAAGAAATGGTTCAGTGGTTAAGAGTGAATATTGCCCTCCCAGAAGACATGATATCAGTTCCCATTGCTCCCTTGTAACTCAACTCCAAGAGCTTTGATGCTTCTAGTCACTCCAGGCACTGCACTCACAGGCACATACACACAGTTAAAAATAATAAAATAAGTATTTTTAAAATAATTTGAATCCAGAGCTTACCATGGTGATTCACATATAATACTAGTACTTAGAAGGTGAAGGCAGGTGAATATCTGGGAATTCGAGGCCAACCTGGTCTACATAGCAAGTTCAAGGGCAGCCAGGGCTCGAGATCCTGTGGTGGTGGTGGCACATACCTTTAATCACAGCACTTGGGACAGAAGGTCAGCCTGACCTACCATAGCCAGGACAGCCAGGGTGGTTACACAGAGAAACCCCGTCTCTCTCAAATACAAATCAAACAAAATAAGAATGAAATCTTTAGGATTGGGAAAGAAAAGAAAAAACTAAAATAATAAAAAACACCTCTTAAACTGGGTGTGGGTGTAGGGAGTCAAGTCAGTCAGGTCTACATAGTGAATTCTAGGACAGCCAGGGCTGTATAGAGAAATCCTGTCTTTAAAAAAAAGAAAACAGAAAGAAAGAAAGTGTGTGCCACCACCTTCCACCTTATGGTCTCCACTCTTAAGCTAGGAGCCCAGGAGTCCTTTCTGCTTGTCACCTTCCAGCTTTGGATGGTTCTGCCATGCATGTCTGTGCCGGAGGGCATCACAAGGACCACACAGAAGCCATGAGCACAGGAACAAGGCTGGTGAGAGCAGAAGTGAAATAGTGTCATCCGTGCACAAGGCACGGGTGGTGGTCCACGCCTTTAATCCCAGCACTGGAGGGCAGAGGCACACAGATCTCGGCCAGCCTGGTCTGCAGAGTGAGTTCCAGGACAGCCAGGGGTACACAGAGAAACCTATCTTAAACAAACAAACAAACAAAGTAGTCAGGACCATACCCTGTGCCCTACAGTTGCCTGGTCTTATTTTCCTTCCTATCGGCAAAGGAAATCTTTCTGATCTTTTGCAATCCTGTTACACACACCTGTCCCTCTCTCATTCCCTCAGACTGCAAAACAAACCAGATCACTTGCTGTTCTTACAAAGGCAGAACCCTTACCTTCAGACATCTCCACCGTCTTGCACAATAGTGCTATCTTCCTGAAATTCTCTTCTGTTTTTTGTTTTTAATTTTTTATATGTTGGTTCAAATATGATCCATCCTTAAGGGCAGCAGTTAACTACTGCCTCTTCAAGGGGCCTTCCTGTGTGTTTACAGCAGAAGGTAGTGTACTGCCTTGGCCACTTGCCTACAACTTCTCCACCCACAGGAAGTCATGTCCCTCCCGAAGACACGCACTTTTTTTGTATGCCTTATTTTGCTTTGCCTTTTGTTTGTTTGTTTTTCAAGACAGGGTTTCTCTGTGTAGTCCTGGCTGTTCTGGCACTCACTTTGTAGAGCAGGCTGGCCTCGAACTTACAGATCCTCCTGCCTCTGCCTCTGCCTCTGCCTGTCAAGTGCTGTGATTAAAGGTGTGTGCTACCATCCCAGCTTTGGATGGCCGTTTAAGAACAACAATCCACAGCAAGCTTGGAGAAGGTAGGAGAACTGACAGAGCTTGGTGTACCTGGGATTACCCCCTCCAACACAATCATTCAGCTCCTGTGATGTGTCAGGCACAAGCAAGAAATTCATTTTGGCTTTGGCAAACTTAAAAGCACTTGCCAGCCAGATGGGAGATTCCTGGCTGGGAGCCTGGCCACCACTTGCTAAATTTAACAGGGCATTCCCCAGCGTAAGACCCTCCTGCAGCCACTACCTGGAATTATCCTGACTCACAGACTTGACCTTACCTCAAACTGAAGCTGGGGTAGGACCAATTATTTATGAGTCCCCTTCCCTAATTCTGACTAGCTGTTGCTCACCTTCCTGGTTTTCCCTGTGCTGACCCTTACTTTGAATCCAGTTGCTTGAGGGACTGTGTCTGGTTGAGATCTGCAGTCAGCCCCGGAGCTCCACTCCCACAGAAGGCTTCAGCCCAGCCTAGGCTATGGTAGATGTTTTCCTGGTGATTCTGAAAACCTTCTGCACTGTGGTGAATGATTCCTCAGAATTTCTGCTTCTGTGTCTCCCCAACTAGATTCAGCTCCTGTTGGACCATGCAATGCATCCCCAGGTCTGGCTGTTAGTGGGGGTATAACTCTGGTCCTGAGTTACACGTGTGAAACATAAAAGTCTACACAGAGCCAGTGTCCCTGTGAGTGAAGTGACTTCTTTAGGAGACCGAGGCCATGAGCCCCGTAGTGGGAAAGTGACACCCTCCTCCATCCTCCTGCCCCTCCCACTCTCTCAGAAAGGGAAATTTACATTTTATCGGAATGTGGCTGCTTCCCTGTGCCTCTGTGCCCTTGGGGCTGGGCAAAGGGGGCGTTGTCTGGTCAGGCCTGCTGGGAGTGCTCAGCTCTCTTGGCTGGGAAACCCTGTCTGTCTGCCTCTCCCAGGCCAAGGATGGGGAACAGAAGGTCCAAGCTTCAGAATGCTAAGGGCCCCTCCGGCTCAGTCACCTTGGCATGAAGCCACCCGGATGTGGTGGGTGGCGAACAGGATGGGGCGGAGAATCCTGGCCGTTCTGGGACACCGACTGGATGGGCCACTTTCGCGGGAATCCCGCAAACCGCTCAGAAACGAGGTGCGGGCAATGGGAGCAGACTTGGTTTCTTGCTATTTGGGAGAAGCAGAATGCTTCAATGTCGGGACAAGGACCCCCTTAAGGAATAAGGATTATAAACGAAGTCTCACTAGAAACCCGAGTGCCCTGGTCTCATTCACTAAGGCCTTCCTTCTGCTTCTCCACAGCTTTCGCGGTTGGTCTTCCGCTAAGCTGCTCTGTCTTGTGCCCACATCTTGGGGAGGCAGAAGCTTTGACAGCTGGGTTCTAGACTGTTCTCTGCTTCTTCCAGCCCCGGAGCACTCTCTACGCCCTCCTCTGGGCCTTTGTTTTCTCATCTGCGAAATGGGCCCAGGGTTGGGGAAGAGGGCTGGAAAAGCCCTCGGAGCTCGGACAATGCCAGATCCGGCTCCCCATGGCCGCCCCCTCCCCATCTTAACTCCACCCCTACCGAGCAGCTTCTCCCCCTTGCCGGCCGCTAGGGGTCACTGCCTCCCTTTGTCAGCGACCGCGGAGGGCAGCCCGCCCTCCGGCCCTCTCCACGACCGAAAGGCGACTCAAGGGGCATCTCGCTAGCGAAGGGGCCTGAGCGGGACCCCCACGGTCACGCTCGCAGCCGCAGCTGCCTGGGGTTGGGAGGTGTAGGCGCACTGCCGGAGGCCGGGCCAGGGTTGGGCCGGGCGCGTGGGAGCCAGGAGGGGGTTAACGCTAACCCCTCCCCCCGGGCTGACATCACGGGAGAGCGGGTGAGAGGCTGGATCGGCGAGTGAGAGAAAGAGAGGGAGAGCAGCAAGCGCGGCTCGCCTCGGCTCCCAGGCAGCTCCACATTGTTGCGGATCGCCCGCACCGGGCGCAGCGACAGCTTTGGGGACCCGTGGCGCACCCGGCTCGCTCCCCTCGCTCCTCCAAGACCGCTTAGCCCGGAGCCTCGAGGGCAGCTGGCCGCCGAAGCCGCACACCATCGCCTGGGCCCCGAGCCCTCTGCACCGCCCGGCCACCCTCGGAGAACGGCCGGCCATGGACGCCTGCAAGTTGGAGCCGAGCGGGAGGGTGTGAGCGCGCCCAGGGCCGGGAGCCTGCGCCGCGCTAGCCGGGCAGCCGGGCGCGCCGGGGGTGGGTCCCTCTCCCCAGCCCCGCTCTGCGTGGAAGAAGAGGGCGGGGACCGGGGCAAGGAGGAGAGCGGAGGAGGCGAAGGGGGCATGACTCGTGCAACTTGCGGCGGGCATCTGCCGAGGTTCTGAGCCGGCGGCTGCCGGGGCCCGATTGCGGCCGCGCGGATCCCACACAGCCCATCCCGCCCCGGCCGACGGCTGCGGCTGACCTGGATCCTCCGAGCGCCAGCCGGCCGCCAGCGATTCGCCCTCGTCTTCCAGGCTGGTTTCTGGAGCGCGAGGAGCGCCCTCCTGGCCGCCCCTTTCGCCGGACCCCCGCCCTCCGATGGCTCGGATGGGGCTTGCGGGCGCCGCTGGACGCTGGTGGGGACTCGCTCTCGGTTTGGCCGCCTTCTTCCCAGGTAAGGGGATCGCTTTTGCCACCCCCATGCCCCCCACCCAACCAGAGTCTCCCCGGGACTGGAAGCTGGATGACGGGTACGACTGGGTTGTAGAGAGCAAACGGAGCCAGAAAAGTTGGGTCACACTTGGATGGGGGGGGCAGGAGGTGGCAACCGTGGAGAAAGGGGTTGAGGAGCCGAACAGCCTGCCCTGCAGAGTAGCAATCGGATGCACGTCTCTATGTAGCAAGAAAGCACTTTCTCCGCTCAGTTCTTCACAAAAATAATAATATGTAATAGGGTTCTATTTATTTAATAACCGGTTCTCAGCTCGAGGAGCAGTTTGGAAACACTGAGTGTTACATAAATGCAAAATAATCGCCGTAATCACCGACTAGGGGTATGAGACAACAGCCCCAGGGGGAGGGCGTCAGTCTCCGAGCTGGTGGGCCATGGGTTTGGAGGGTTGCTGGGGGCTTCATTTCTTTTGGCGGCCTCTTGTCAGACGGTTTCGGGCTCGCGGGGGCCCCCTCTTGCCCCACACCGCCCCACAGCGGGCGCTAGGAACCGCTTCTGCGGCACAAGCGGCTTCTTGCTCACCTGCGGTTCCTTTTCTTGAGGGTGAGGCCGGGGCGCCTGGGGATCGCAAACTCCTGGCCTTGCGCGGGACTGGGCTCCGCCTTGGAACTCCACTTCTAAAGCAGAGGGCTCCCCCAGGAGGAAGCTCCATGGGCTTCATGCCAGCCAGGTGGCCGCATGACCCACTTTCCCGAGAGGCCCCGAGGGTGTCCCGCAAGTCTTTCCTCGAGGTTTGAGCTGCCGGCTGAAGAGGGGTTAACTCCGCGCCCGACCCTGGGGTGGCCCGTGGTGGCCCATTCTGACGGATGGGGTGGGGGCGGAGGTTGGGACCGGCCCAGGCATATTGTGCTGGGGAATGAACTGGAAAATGCGTTTAGGAGGCAAATCCTACCGAGTCCCCTCGCCTGGATTTAACCCCTTGTGTCCCTGGGGAAGCAACTGGGCTGCCAGCAGGACACTAATTTGGGTCAAGGTGGGGGGTATCTGTCTACTCCCCCACCCCCACCTCCGCTTCCCTCCCGAAACAAACCTAAGATGAGCTCTAGTCCTAGCAAGATGCGGTCTTGGGGGTGGGGGGGCTAGGCAAAGCGTGACTGTAGCTGGTGGTCGTCAATTCGGGGTAGCAGGATGAGGTGCTGCGTTAAGAATACTGGATTCCCAGGCGCTGTGGTTCTGCAGGCTTGCGGGGCAGTTTGTTAGGGAGAGGCTGGCCCGACTGTCCAGGTGTGGCTTGGATGCACTCCTGGAAGACAGGAGCCTGGCCTCATTTACTTCCTTTACTGCCTCCTTCTGCCAGCCAGCTCGCTGCTGGGTACTGCGCCTCTCCATCAGTGGTGGGTGCCAGGAAAGCAATTTGGGAAAGCAGGGACATGGACCGCTGTGGAGTGCTCCCCCCTGGGGTGTCCCAGGAGGGGACATTCCGTGTCACCGTCCCCAGGAGCATGCTGAAGCTTCCACCAGTGTGGCCTGGGTGGGAGTGGGAGGTCTTCACCCACCTTTTCACTGATGCTATCAAATGCAGTGCACACAGAAACTCAGCCTCTAGAATTTACCTGCAGCTTCAGAGAACCTTTTAAATTCCTAACCCTCCCCAGAACCCAGAGCCAGGAGCCTGAAGGATTCCTAGCACACTAGGGGTTAACCTAATCCCGGGATGGACAAAGGGCCAGAGGGTGTGAAGAAGGAAGCTCACCACCCTTTTCTATTTGTTGCTGTATTTCCCGGGTTTGGGGGGGGGGAGGTTGGAGCACGTTTAATTCCATCCTTGGGGGTTAGAGGCTCCGCCCACACAACAACAGGGAGACCTGGAGGTGACACTCACCTGGCTCAAAGCAGATGCTCCACCACCAAAAGCCCAGCTCCCAGTTAGGATGCCCGGAATGGAATCACAGCCAGGAGGCATTACTAAGTGTTCTGCCACTGATTGTGGCCAGTGGATGGGTGCAGCAGAGGCAACCAAAGTTCCTGGACTCACCTAGCTCCTAGACAGAGCCTGCTTCTGTGTGCCTCTGAGGTGACGGAAAGCAGGTGGGTACGGCTACACTCAGTCTGCCCTCGGACTGGGACTGAGAAGGCAAGGAGGCCCATTTGGTGAACTCCCCCGTTCCCTCACTCTCTCTTCCTGGGTTTCTGTCTGCCCCTGCCTTTCCCTGGGGATTTGCCAGTCTGCTGCTCTTTCCTGGGTTCTCCTGGGCTGTGACAGGGAGCACTGTGGAAGTGGAGAGGAAGGAGGTCCCAGTGTGTGTATGAGTGTGTGTGTGTGTGTGTGTGTGTGTGTGATGACTCCTGACTTCACAACACAGCCGACCTGACTCTTGAAGTGTACACAGAGAAGTATGTTTCTATGTGGCAGACAGCACAGGTAGGGTAGGAAGGGCCCAGGAGCTCTGTCTTTGTTTCCTGAGATGGCAGGCTTACTTAGAGGAGTGGGTCAGTGTTACCTACAGAGGGTTGGAAACCAGAAGAAGGGGCGGAGAAGTTGCCTGGGAAGTAGGTGTCCCACCTATACCACACCCTCTCTAATTGGCTTCCCCACACCTTTGGTCTAGAAAGAAAACCCACACCCTAGGTGTCAAGCTCACCATGCAAAGACCTGTCAGGCCACAGCATTCATTCCCTTTAGGCTGTCTGCACAGTGCCTGTTCCTGGTGCTTTCCTTTGAAGCCCCCAGAGCTAAGCTGTTGGGTGCTTTTCCTCTTGCCTGCTTCTCAAAGACTATGGTGGACTAGGATTTACTGGGCTGGGCATTATAGCAGAATCCATTCTCCTGGCCTGGGCTTGCAGTGTAAAACACAGCAGTCTTCAAGCCTATTAGTCAGGCAGCCTCCTGGAGAGCATCTGAGTCAGATTTAAGGCCTAACCCCGGAGACTGGAGGGAAGGCTCGGCACTGCAGAGCTTGGACCCAGCAGGCCTGGCCCAGTGGCCTACAAGGTTTCCCAACCTGGACCAGAACAAATGTGGGCCATGTAGCCAGTGGTTCCCTAAAGCAAGCTGGGACTAGTTGTAGGCTGCCAGCTCCTTCCTTGGACGCTTGGCTCTGCACAATGAGTCCACCTGGGCAATCGCCTGGGCTGCCTGGCCTGTGGGCCCAGTTGTAGGCTGCCAGCATGGCTGTGCCCACAGCTGAGCCGGTGGGCTGGGATGGAGGGCCAGAGGGTCGGCTCCCATTGCTGCATCCATGATGCCGCCATTGTTTAGCAGCTGACTAATGTTCATTGTTCAGCACAAATAGAAAACACCCAAGGGAGGTGTGACTATAGCTTCTACTCTTCTGATTGTATCTTTCCTGGTTAACTTGGCAAATTGAAAGCCTTCCCAGTGAGGAAGGGGCAGAGAGGTGTCTGCATCACCTGTTGGGCTTTTGTTTGTTTTGTTTTTTAACTTTGAACATTAGCCAGCACTCCAGGTAAGAATGGACAGTAGCCAGCTGTGGCTTGAGCTAACACTCGGACAGACTTGCCTTTGGTCCAGAGTGGGTGTATATAAGCATGTGTATGGGGCTTTGTGTGATGATGTTGGTCACCCACAACTCACTGTTACAAACACAGATCTGCAAGGACTAGAATTAGGGAGTATCTAGACTCATATTTGCAATCGCCATGGAACCGGAGCTCTAAGTTCCAAATGCATGTTCACATATAACTGATTTTTTTACGGCATTCAGATGGGTTGCATGGATGGTTTTGAGCATTGACAGTGCCTGTGTCTATGTCAGTGACTTGAGGGGGACTTTGGGAAGAGACCCAGAATTTGCTCTTATCTAGCTCGCTCCAAGAAAAGCTTGCTGGGTCCCAGTCCTTTGGGGCCTAGGAAGCCTTGGTGCTGCTTTCTTGCTCCTCTGCCTTTGGATTTCCACTAAAGCCTTGCGGGGGGGCACAAGACCTTAACAACACCTGGATTTCCACTAAAGCCTTGCGGGGGGAGCACAAGACCTTAACAACACCTGGATTTCCACTAAAGCCTTGCGGGGGGAGCACAAGACCTTAACAACACCTGGATTTCCACTAAAGCCTTGCGGGGGGGCACAAGACCTTAACAACACCTGGATTTCCACTAAAGCCTTGCGGGGGGGCACAAGACCTTAAGAACACCTGGATTTCCACTAAAGCCTTGCGGGGGGGGGGCACAAGACCTTAACAACACCTGGATTTCCACTAAAGCCTTGCGGGGGGGCACAAGACCTTAACAACACCTGGAAAGGCTTCCCTCTCTTGTCAGCCTTCTGTTGTCTCCTCCACTGGAGCTCTAATGGGCCTGGCCTGTTCCATAGGCTCTCAAGATGCTGAAATGTCTAGAAGGGGCCAAGGGACATACGTTTTCAGGTCCTCTTTAGACACCTTTGTTTCCTGCATGGACACTTAGGAAAAGAAATTTTGGGGAATTAGGTACCATGCTGTCCCTTTTAAAAGATCATTGTTGAGTGAGATCTTTGGTCCCCATAAGAAGCCTGCAGAGCCCTGTAGGTTGGCCAGGTCAGCAGCATGAATGTACCTGGTAGAATCTAGGCTTGGGCAACCAAAGGAGAGAGCCCACTTGTTAGAAAAGGAGGTGGCAATGAGGGACAAGGGATAGGGAAACCACAGTCTCCAGGGCTTAGCCTCCTTGTACAAGCCTAGCAGACAAGTATTCCCCTGAGCTGCAGACCCACTCCATGGAGAGCAAGCCTGCAGAGCCAACAGCAGATGTGCTGGCTGGGGCAGGAGGTAACTTAAGATCTGAGCCAGATCACCTTGCAGAGGGAATGCCCTAAGCTGGAGATAACACCCCTGCATCCAGTTAACCCTTTAAGCTCCAAGTGCCTGGTGGAGCTGGAAGAAGAGGAAAAGGAAGAAATGTGAGACATGACACCAGACATGTCACCAGAACATTGATCGTTCCACAAGTAGAGGCGAACCCAGTGCAACAGAAGAGATCCAAGACAGACCCAGAAATTTTGTGATCC